AAAAGAGAGAGATTTTTAAATGTGCAGTTTCCTTATTTGCAAACATTCCACTTGGTTGCTTCTACTTCCCAGGACCTACCAAATATTCCAAGCACAGTTTTTTAGGCACATATCCAGAGACTTTTTTTATATTGCAAACTGGGAAGAAAATCTTCAGACCGCGATGCTCGATTCAGAAGGAGCCAAGGATGATGGGTTTTGTAGGCCGCAACCCAAGGAGCTTCTTCTTAGGGCTCGAGATAGCCTGCAATATTTGGTAATGATCCCCCATGTTCATACCCTATACTGTAACGTTATCTGGCTTTCTGTTTTTACGGAAAAGCGAGGCTGGTGAGGATCGCCCAGAATTTCCCAGGAAGCTTCAAAGCTTGGCGTTATTCTGAGAGCGGGACAGAAATCGGTTCCTCTTTCTCACCAATACCTGAAAGGGATACCGTGTCAGTGGGGCTCACGTTCATGGGGATAACTAGCCATATAAATTATGTTTGTAGACTTCACAAGTCAAACTGGCAATTAGACAATTAAGCCGTGTATTCACAGCCCTGGCTAAGGCCTCTCTAATCTCGCTGTGACCCAAAAGATTGAAATGTTATCAGCTTCTCAGGAGCCCTAATCTAAAGACCGCCATGCAAGAGAAAAAGCCTCATTTCAGTTTTTCAATTGCAGTTCAAAGGACGTCTGTCATTTGATATTGGCTGTGGATCTTTTTAAAAAAAAAAAAAAAGTCATGTTCTGTTTGCACAAGTTGTCATTGCCTTTGCTGCTACAAACCACACTCGGCCTTGGTTTATGGAGCACAATAATGCAGTGTGCTCACCTTGGAACAAATGCCTACATAAAATTTCGTATCTAACGCTATTTAGGATGAAAAACTCACATGGGACTGAAAGCATAACAGGACAAAACATGGACTGTGAAACTGTGTAGCCCGAGAGGGGTCATCTTTTAGATATACAAAAATTGACTAATGCCCAATGCATTTCAACTTAAAATAATGAGAGTTAGGGAGAAGTTATAGAAGGTCAAGCACAGCTGCTTACTTGGCTGATAGAATGTTTTCCCTTCAGAGATGTAATTCCTTCAAAGCTACTTGCACAGGAAACTCACATTCATGTGAAACACACGCCTGCTTACCTATGAATCCCAGCATGTGAGGGCATCTGAATGTTTTCTTCTCCTCTATGGGATCATACTTCATGCCTGTCAATCGACAATAAACTTCCTAAGGTGATTATCTTCACCAGGATTCAAAGGCTGGGAGCTTATTTTTATTTATTTTATTGATTCAAAATATTTTTTTTTACCCTGCCTTTCTCCTCAAAAAAAGGTGGATTAACATTACTAAAACCACACTGTTAAAAGTTAAAAACAGCAAATTATTCAAATATTTAAGAATGAATAGCATCATATTTAAAATATTAGGTAAAAGCATTAACGAAAGATAGCTTTGGAAGCAGCAAAATCTAAACCATCCCATTTCAGGGATAATTTTTTGGTTAACTCCTCGAGTCTTTTGCTTTGGGGGCTGCTGGAAAATCGAACCCCCCCTTTTAATAGACATATTTAGAGCTCTGGATTTATTCCTGCTTTAAGCCTCTGGATTTGCTTGCTGTCTTTATAACGAGTGCAGTTTTAATCGGGATTTTATGTTAGTTGTTCAAGGTTTACCATCACCACAAAACCTCAGCATTTATCCTATTTTGTTGGTTGTCTTGGAAATTTCAACAGGACGTTGGCCCTGACCTGATTTGAAATAAATCAAGATATTGTTCTTCATTTCCCCTTGAGCTAAAATAGACCTAAAATGTAGTAAAGGTGGGCAGTTTAGGCTGTTCGATGTTTTTATTTTCTTTTCAGAAAAGCTGAGCTGAAATGTTATTATCAGACAGCCAGTTTCACAGTAACTTGCATACCGAAACAAGGTTGTTCTTATCCCCATTGAGAACATCTTGTGATGGCTAAGGTACAAGCTGGCTAAACCAATGTTGCAAAAGGGTACAGTTTGAGGTCAAAGGGTCATACAAGGGAGAGGAGATCTCACAGTGTCCCATTATCTAAATGGAAGGGTCATCATGAACTCAAAAGGCTTGTAAAACTAAGTATTGAATTATGTTTATGTAGCTCTTGTTCAAGTCTGGGGAAAATTGGCTTCCCGGGGAACATTTCCAGTGAACATTTTCTCTTCTTGCTAAAGTGTTAAACTTGTGATTCAGTTGTGTCCCTTTAAATGAGGATTGTCTGTGTTTTGACTCCTCTTACCCAAACAGGAGAGGTTTCTTTGAGCTCAGCTTATGCTCTACTGGATTTTGGCAATCATGGAAAAAGAAACGTGGATCATTTAGAAGTTTGCCTTAATTTAGTATTTATTTGATTTGATTTTACTTTGCTTTACTCTATTTTACCCTGCTTCGCCTTGCTTTGCTTTGCTTTACTTTACTTTAGGGACGTGGTGGCACTGCGGGTTAAACTGCAGAAGCCTCTGTGCTGCAAGGTCGGAAGACCAGCCGTCGTAAGATCGAATCCACGTGACGGAGGGAGCTCCCATCGCTCATCCTGGCTCCTGCCAATCTAGCCATTCGAAAGCATGTAAAAATGCAAGTAGATAAATAAGTGCCACCTCAGTGGGAAGGTCACAGCGTTCCGTGTCTAGTCGTGCTGGCCACATGACCACAAAAACGGTCTTTAGACAAACGCTGGCTCTATGACTTGGAAACAGGGATGAGCACTGCCCCCTAGAGTCGGACACGACTGGACGAAATGTCAAGGGGAAACTTACTTTGCTTTGCTTTGCTTTATCAAATGTGTACACTGCCCAACTTAGTGAGCTTTGCTTTGCTTTGCTTTGCTTTGCTCATCAAATGTGTACACTGCCCAATTTAGTGAACCACTACTCTGGGTGGTTTGCACATAAAGATGTGACAAAATTATAACAACAATATAAATGAATCCGTTCGAATCAATTTAAACCTCAATGGCAGAAACAACAAAGGGTGACATAGAATATACAGAAAGAACAACAAATGAAGAAAAACTAGAAGTTTTAAAAGATTAAGAACTTATTGATGTTGTTATTAAGAGTTATTAATAACAATTCTAGGGACCTTGCATGAGCTTGTTTGTGATAATTATACAATCATAAAAAAAATTGAATCAAGATGGGGCCTCTATCGTCACAGAGTCCAACCCCCTGGTCAAGGCAGGATGCCAAGTCAAAGCAGCTCTGGCAGCAGATGGTTGTCCAATTTTCACGTCGTTGCCTCCAGAAGCTCTCACCACCTCTCGAACAGCTAAGAAGTTTTTCCCCCCTGATATTCAGCCTAAATCTGGCTTCCTGCAACTTGAACCCATTGTTGTGTGTATCCTGCACTCTGGGATGATGGAGAACAGATTCTGCCCCTCCTCTGGATGACAATCTTTCAAGTCTTTGAAAAGTGCTGACCTATCTCCCCTCAGACATCTTTCTTCAAGACTAAACATGCCCAGTTCTTTCAGTTTTTTTCTGTACCTTTAAACATCCATGTTCAAGAGCTGTAATACCTCTGCATTACAGTTGCTGGTGAAGATCAACAGCAAAGGCCTATGAAGTTGACCTTCTGCTTGTAGACTTCCCAGAGGCATCTCTTTGGCCCTGTGGGGAAGAAGATGGACCTTGGGTTTGACTCAACAGAGTCCATATTTTTATCATTGCTGAGGCTCGTTTTCGTGCAGACGGATGTCATCAGACAAAGCAGTGTTACACGGCTCTGTGTTCTAGCATTCAGTCTTCATACCATTTGCATTTCAAGAACTTTGCACGTATTGATGCAATTAGTTAACCCCTCCGGTTAACCACTGGACAAAAGATGTCTTATGATCATATATCTCCACCAAGATCATTTTGGAAATACAGAATATATAAATAATATTGGGGTTGTGGGGCTTTTTACTTCTCAGAGAAATATGGGAATAAGAAGAGTCTTCTAGCCAGCAGTACAGAAACGCCAGTATGATGGTAGAACTTCTTCCTTGTTGAAGCACCTTTCTCTGGAAACATCTACCCATGCCACCCAATCCTCTCAGAACATGCTCCTCCAGGTTGCCATACTGAGGAAAGCCAGGAAGTCATGTCCTAGAAACAGAGTCTTCTTGGTAGTGGCCCCTTCTCATGTCCTTCTAGTGGAGTTGCCCTGGCCTCTTCCCTCACAACGCTCAAAACAAGGCTGTTTACCAATGCCTTCGAGAGCATCCTCTCCTAATGTTTTATAAACTGATCGTGTGATTATTCCCACTTGCCATCAATTTGTGTGCATTTTTCTTTATTCGATGATAACTATCGTATCTGTGCTTATGTGTGTGGATCATTTTTTTCAAGATATTATTTGTGATTTATTCTATATTCGTGCTACTTTGGATGTACACTTCCCAGGACTAATTGACATGACAACCAAGTATAACAAACAAACCATTCCCACCGCCTGGTTTTAGAGACCCATTAGTGGATGGATCGGCCAGCAAAAAACGTTGTGCTGGCTACGAATCGCCGATAAAAGAGAACTAAAACAAACAAACTTCTGATTGTCTCACCAAAATTTCCTCTCTCATGTTAGGCTGATAGAAAAGGAAGTTCGTCAACAAGCTGGTCTAGGCGTTGCCTGATTTCCCCCATCCTTGGGTTATCAGGCTCCTTCACCCATCACCTGCCAGCAGCCCCATTCCAGATGGGTTATGGCGAGCGGTAATCATAAACTGAAGCAACACTTCTGACGAGCCGCCATAAATTGACAAGGACACCATTATCTTTCTTGGCAGAGTCCTTCCTCCCTGGTTTGTCATCAAGCAATCAGGGCTATTACTTTACAATCTGCTAAGAGAGACTATAAACCGTCTCAGCTAGTGCCATGATACTGGAGTTATTCAATAACCAGAAGGCATACCCTTTAAAAGTCTGACTCAGTGGCTGTCTAGCCTAAGATCTCAACACTCCTGATTATTTGGAAGAAGCCACAGAGTCTCAGCTGACCATGAACATCTATTTGACAGTGACGCTCTGCTTATCGGCTCTTCTAGCGATTTCTGATGGGGTCACAGTCACGGTAAGTGTCCAAAAGCCTTCCAGAGCAGTTCTGCTCCCATGTGGCTTCCCCATTTGGTAAGATGTCAACTGCAGTCCAATTGGTACAATTAGCTCACGACCCATGCTTTCGACCCAGTTTCAGGTGGTGGTATCTCTAGATAGGACTGGGAAAGAGTAGCTGGTTCTCATCTTAGAACTGCAGAGCTGGAAGGGACCCTGTAGATCATCAAGTCCAGCCCCTGTCAAAGAGGCACAGTGGGGGGAATCAAACTCCCAACCTCTTGCTTCACCATCAGAAACCTAAATGACTGAATAACTGGGCAGGAAAATATTCAACCAGAAAAGAGTGAGACACAAATATATATATTTCTTTTCAGTCTCTGACAGAACTTACCCCTCTCATGACAGATTTCTGTATTTAAAAAATGCAGAATTTAAATCTGATTACTGTTGCATCACAGCAGGTGATATTCGGAAGGTGAACCATTGGAAGACTTGGCTACGTCATTGCGAGCCACCATCCTATCCTGTTCGGTGATTGTTCTGGTGTCTGTCTGTCTGGATTTGTGTAGCTTCACAAGGGAAATGGCATATTGTGCAAATTGTACAGGATAGGATGGCTGGGTGTGGGGAAATCACCTGACGTCTCACTCTCATGCTGGAGGAGAGATTGCTCATGAGCAGCCATTTCAAGACAGCTTTCCTCAAGGCAATCCATGTCACTGTTCACAGGCTCCACAGTGCCCTAAAAATATTTGATCTCTCCTGATTTGAGATACTTATGCAGGATTGGGGCCTGGGCAATGTTTGGATGGGAGACCACCAAATAGGGATCAACTAGGAAAAACAAGCCTGCCTTGACTTTAGGCCACAATGAGTTCCAGTTTCAGCCTCTGGAATCACCAGAAAGGTCTGGGAAGTATTCCTGTTGGACCTGCTGGAGATCCGTTTTCAGCCCCTTTGCTCCGGGGTGAGTTAGATGGGACCAATGATAGTACATAGTCATTGTCTCCACTTTTCAGTGTCCCACCTTGGGCTTCAAGATCGGTCCTGGAGAACAGCTGTTATATTGGAGGTGGGACTCTCAGCACTATCATTTTTAAAAAAGCAACTTCTACAAGCCTGATGAGCAGCTATGATTTTTACGCAGGTTTGGGTCCTGGGCAATGTTTGGATGGGAGACCACCAATGGAATATTAGGGATCAACTAGGGAAAACAAGCCTGCCTGAGACTTGGGAGAATCATTGCTGACAACTTGGCTTAAGGCATCTTTCCATGTTCTCATCTAAATCAGTCCTTGATTCAGGATCTCAAGGACCAGGATCTTGACTTATTCTTCACACCAGAGGTACAGCTCCGTGGTACAGCCCATGCTTTTCACAGAGCAGGCCCCAATCCTTCCTAGCCCTGTCTAGACATACTGAGGACTCAATTTGGTGCAGTCACTTCATGTCAACAATACCGAACGTAGCTGGACCCAGTATAAACCATAGAATTATAGAACCATGGAATTGGAAGGGGTCCATAAGACCACTGAGACCAACTCCCTGCCCAGTATATATCTGACCAATGGCTGCCTATCTTTCCCTTGAATGGCTCCAAGTGCTGAAACGCACACCACTTCCCGATGTAATTGGTTCCATTGTTGTACTGCTCTAACAGTCAGGAAGTTTTTCTTGACTTTAGGCCACAATGGGTTCCAGTTTCAGCCTCTGGAATCACCAGTAAGGTCTAGGAAGGATTCCTGTTGGACCTGCTGGAGATCCATTTTCAGCCCCTGGGTGAGTTAGATGGGACCAATGATAGGACATAGTCATTGTCTCCACTTTTCAGTGTCCCACCTTGGGCTTCAAGATCGGTCCTGGTGAACAGCTGTTATGTTGGAGATGGGACTCTGAGAGCTATCTTTAAAAAAAAAAGCAACTTCTACAATCCTGATGAGCAGCTATGATTCGAAGTTCCTTAGCAGAGTTGGGATGGGTTGATGAGAAGCAACATTGTCCTGGAGGACATTTTTTAATCAGAGCAAACCACTACCCTCTCGTGGGGAATGTTGGCAACCCTACAGTACATTCTCCCAACCAAGGAATGTGCCACTTCTTGGAAGGCTTTTTCTGCCTCATTGCCCCTTGCCTCTTGGACAGGGTCTGATCCCTTCCAGCTTTGCAGTTCTAAGATTATTCGGAGCTTTTGCTTGCAACCTTCTTAACTTGCAAACCATTTTCTCCTCCCTTCCTTTTCTCCCCCTTTCTTCTCTGCAGGTGGACGACTTCTCGGTCTCCTTAGAATCCGTGAAGCAGCTGAAGGTCCTCCTTGATGCGGAGCCCAGGAACCCACGCTTCCGTAGCAGCCGATACCTCACAGTGTGTACGCACCCACAGCTGCCTGCCGAGATAGCGCCTGTTTGTTCCAGCTCCAAGGCTCCAAGTGTGTTCCAAAAGCTCGGTACGTGGCAGTCACCAAGCTAGTTCTCCTTCAACAGATGGTAGCAGAGTTCCTCTGGTCGCCGTACCAGTTGTGTAGGTTGGTGCCAACTCCATCAGATGCAAAATGTGATAACAAATATCCTTCCCTAAACACTGATTGCAGGAAAACAGAGCCGTTTTGCCCTCCTTCATTCCCTTAAGCAGAGAGGAGCCCTAAAGTTCTTCTTCCTTATATTCCTCTCCCGCTATACCTAGGATTTTACCCTCCCTCCATTTGATTGCAGAAGAGGTGTGGAGGTATTCCTGTTCCCACACCTTGTCTATCCCTGCAATCCATATCTGTCTCCAAAAGCTGATGGCTTAGACCTCAGTAGGTCTATGGCACATTTTCAGAGTCCACAATCTCAACTTAAAAAACGGAGGCTCTGAGAGATCAAATCCTTACAAAAATGACTGTGCTGGCATATCAGGCAAAAGAAAAAAAGAAACAAAACGAAGCATTGTGACAGTGCTGGCATATCAGGCAAAAGAAAAAGAAGAAACAAAACGAAGCATTGTGACGCTCGAAAGGCTTAGGGCTATATTTTTTTGAATATTTTTTTTATTTGAACATATAAATCTACAAACTACAACAGAATACAGCCCCCCCTTTTTTTTTTTGAGGACAGAGATTCCAACCTCATTTAAGTCCCGAATTTCTCAAGTTTCCAGAGAGCATTGAAAAAACACATAAATCATTTGGCCCTAAGGAAAGGCTTAGGGCTATATATTAATTGCCCACGAATCCTAGAATAATTGAGTTGGAAGGGCCAATTAGGATATCAGATCCAAGGCAAGAATCCAAATCAAAACAGATCTGACTGAGAGTTGTCCAATTTTCTCTTGAAGGCCTCTAGTGTTGGAGCGCTCACCCCCTCCCAAGATTCCATTGTTTCCCTTGTCGTACTGCTCTAACAGTCGAGAAGTTTTTCCTGATATTCAGCCTCAATCTGACTTCCCGGAGCTTGGGGCCATTTATTATGTATCCAGGCCTCTGGGATGACTGAGTACAGATCCTGCCCCTCCTCTGTTGGACTCCCTTTCAAGTCTTTGAAAAGTCCTATCTTTTCTCCCCTCAGTCTTTTTTTTTCCCCTTCAAGGCTAAACATGCCCAGTTTTCAGTCTTTCGCTCCTAGGGCTTGGTTTCCAGTCCCGGATCATCTTTGTGGTCCTCCTCTGAATTTTGAAAGCTCATATTAAAATATAGGAGTTCATCTCTAAGGTGCCACACAAGGCTTTTGTCTTCTTTAAAAAAAGTTTTTAATTCTTTTTGTTTTTGCCAGAAAGGTCACTGGCAGCACAAAACAGAATGCCAAGTGTTCCTTTTTTGAGCAGAACAACAATGATAGGCTACTTTCCTCACGTGTTTGAAAGTAACTTTCCAAACTCTAGGTTATGGTTCTGGAGCCACAAAAAAGGAGCTCCTTTTTAAAGAACGGCTCCTCTTGTCTTCGTTTCAGAATTTGTTGCCCGCGATGCAACAATCTGCGAGATCTGTGCGTACGTCGCTTGTTCTGGATGCTAACCCAAGCACCCTCCGGCCATCGTGACTGCCTTCTGAGATGTTCCTGGTGGCTGGACCATTCTGCTCCTGCTGCTGTTCCTCTGTCCATCCCAACAGATGATGCTTCTTGCTTGCTTGTATAGATGGGAGGCTTTGGCTTCCTGGCTACTGCTGCTCCAGTTTGGCTTCCTAGACATCCGCCATTACACTTTGTTGTGGTTGTTGTTAATTGTTTAATCGTGTCCGGCTCTTCGTGCCCCCATGGACCAGAGCATGCCAGGCCCTCCTGTCTTCCATTGCCTCCCAGAGTTGGGTCAATTTCATGTTGGTCACTTCGATGACACTGTCCAGCCATCTCGTCCTCCGTCGTCCCCTTCTCCTCTTGCCTTCACACTTTCCCAACATCAGGGTCTTTTCCAGGGAGTCTTCTCTTCTCATGAGATGGCCAAAGTACTGGAGCCTCAGCTTCAGGATGTGTCCTTCCAGTGAGCACTCAGGGTTGATTTCCTTCAGAACAGATAGGTTTGTTCTCCTTGCAGTCCAGGGGACTGTCAAGAGCTTCCTACGAACCTGTTTATCAATGCTTCCCAATCTTGGATCATCAGGTTCTTTTGGCCTAAAATACCCAGAAGCCTTCACCACAAGCTGCACTGGCCAGGATTCCTGGGAGCTGCAGTCCAAGAACATCTAGAGACCCAAGGTTGGCAAGCACCGCTGTAGAGGGTTCAGAAGGAAGGGAGGCAGGAGAGGAAAAAGATTGCCTAAGTTATGTCCCGTTTCCACTTGCTATGCTAGTTACATATCTTCTAATGTAGCTAGGAGCCATATGATTCTTTACATCCATTCTGTGTAACTTTTTTCCTGCTTTTCTTTCCTTTTTTCATTAAAAAAGAGAGCGACTTGCATTCAAGAATGTATACAAAGGGGTTATAAAACCACCACCCCTCCCAATTTTCCAGAAGCAAGAAGGAAAGCATAAAGGAGCACTTTCAACAAAATGTTGAATTAAGATTAATTAAATCAGTGCCTCTTTTATGTGCAACCTAAGTAAGAAACTCAGATGATTGCAGGACCAACTGAATTTTTTTTATTTTTTTTAGAAATTAAAAACATGTTCTTCAAAATGGCCATTTTCCTGGTGCAGGGCGAGAAGAGCCAAATGCTTTTATTTTACTCAGAAAACCGCCGTTGAAGAAATCTTGGCTCAGCTCTCCAATGTTTAACGTAGACTCATAGAGTCGGAAGGAGCTTATAAGGCCATCATCCCACATACAGTGTATGAGCTTCAAGGAAGGGGCTTATAAGGCCATCGAGTCCCACATACAGTATATGAGCTTCATTGTCTATGTAGAAACTTCAGATAAGGCCCTTTACGATGCTATTGTTCTGCTCCTTTGCAGAATTTAAGGAGGTTTCGGGCGCCATAATTCTCTGCTCATAATCCCCCCCTCCTCCTTTGACTTAAAGGTGGGGGGAAATTGTATTGTGTAGTTGGATTAAGGAGCCCTCCATGTATAGTTCAGCTCAGACAGAAAGGAATTGTTGTGAGCTTCCAGGCAAATAACCACCGAGTAGTAGAATATTTAGCCTTTGGTTTCTGTCCGTGGAGTTTTCTTAGCAAAGAGACTGGAGTGGCTTGCCAGTTCCTGCTCTAGATGGATTGCATCAAGTCAGAACTCTCCACTAGGACCTGTCCGTCTTGGGTGTCCCTGCACGGCCCAGCCCATAGTTTCTCCGAATGACTCGAGCCCCTTCGCCACGACAAGGCAGCCATCCGTGAAGGGGGTGGCATGCTCTGGTCCATGGGGTCACAAAGAGTCGGGCATGACTTAACGTCTAAACAACAAGTAGACTATTTAGATATTTAGATACAAGTGGTGCCTCGCTAGACGATGATAATCCGTTCCACTGAAATCATTGTTTAGCGAAATCATTGTCTAGCGAAAAGCATTTCCCTATAGGAATACATTGAAACCTGTTTAATGCATTCCAATGGGGAAGAATCGTTGTTGTCTAGCGAAGATCAGCCATAGGAAAGCCGCTTTGCGAACTGCCGATCAGCTGTTTAATTCGCTGTCTTGCGAAGCTTAGGTCCCAAAAACACCCGTTTTGCGAGCGTCGAGGGAGCTGTCAAAATCGTTGTCTCGCAAAAATTGGTTTGCGAAGCAGGGACCAAACATTGTCCAGCGAAATTCCCCCATAGGAATCACTGTTTTGAGAATCGCTATGGCTGAAATCTAGGAGTAAGTTACAACAAGAGGGCGCTCATTAAATCAATTGAACTGGACTGAGCAGTTGACTCACCAAAAGCCTACTGATTTCCACAGGTCTACTCTCGTTGCAACTTACTACTGGATTTCAGTCATTGTATTGCAAGCAAGTGCAGTCAGACTTAGAGTAGATCCCTTGAAGTAAAAGGAAATTAATTTAGTTACTGATATAAGCCCCATTGAATTCAATGAGTTTACCCTTAGTTTAATTAACTCTGGATTGAACACACAGGATGACATGTTCCTTCCTTCCTTCCTTCTCATATTTAAATGTGTATTAGTGTTGTATGAAGCTGCCTCAAGAAAAAAAACAATTCTTTGCTTCCTGATTTTAGTCATGGATGTCATTGCAGAACATGGTTTCAGAAATAAACATAATTCATTCATTAAGTCTCATTCTGCTGTTTGCTGATGCAAAGGTGTTTTTGTCTATCACTCCAAATAATTCTGATTCTGGAGAGCAGGGTCCGTTTTTTTGTATTACACACAATCAATTGACCTGGTTGATCGACCAATCCATGAATCGATGGATCGGCCCATAGCATTTGTTCATTATCTTTCCATCGATCCGTTTGCAATAGATTAGAATACGCATGAGCAGAGACAAGACCACTTAAACCAAATTACGAACTTTCATTATATAAAACTGGGGGAATTCGGTATCAAGAACAGCACACACTTTGGGAAATGTCTGCACCAAGATAAATCCTGATTTCTGTCCGGGGAAAGAATAAAGGCCTTCCAGGCCAACGCCAAACAAAGATGGAAAAGAATGCCATTGGGATTTTGAGAAATGAAACAGAAGTGATGTTTGAGAAATGAAGTGGAAAGGATAGCAGTGTTTCCACACCCCTATGACAAGCAGATTGCTTCAAATCTGAACGTCAGCCAGCCACGTCCTCTCCAAATACACTCCAATTCATTCTCCAGGGTTGGCATACAAATCAAAAGCGTTCGAACTTATCGATTTTTAGCAACTCCCTGGCGCCCTGAGTATTCAGAGTGACTCAAAGCATTGGGAGAGGTATCATGCAGAAAGATTTTCACCTAGCTATCACCATGTCTAGCTTTCCTGGAATTTGCCCACACCAGGAAACTCTGGACATTGTGGCTGAGTGGTTAGTGTGGGCTTCTCGGACTCCGCCACAGTCTTGACAACTGGAATTCATACCTCTAATCGCAAGGAGCAAAATAGGACCACCGAGGCTGAACAATGATAGACTGGACTTTAGGAATCACTTCAGTTGACTTCTAGAGTCCTCCAGGGCGGTGGCCATCACTGCACGTTATGAATGTGAATTGCATCATTCCACCATACGCTGTGTGAAGAAGTGTGTCCTATTTTCTGTTTTGGAATGTCTCACCATCCATCTTCAGTGGATGACCGGCATTCTGCGTATCATGACAGAACATCAAAAATATCTCCCTTGTTAACTTTCTACATCCCATGCACAATGACATATTCAAATGCCATGGCCAGAATCCTAGTGTGGCTTTATGCCAGAGGAAGTGAAATCACGTAAGTCATCTTGGCAAATTGCAACAATTCATAAAGTGCCTGTTGTGTGCCAGGTCACATGTCACTCAAGCAACCGGGGACATGGCCAGGAATACAACCACTGCCTTGGTACTTACAATTCACCACTGTGACTTGCTCCAGAGTAAAATCCTAATAGGATGCTGGCCTTTGTACACAGCCCTATGATTCCACCCATTTGAATATATCTGATTTCATCTGATTTCAGAAACCGAGCAGGGTTGGTTCCCTAGTACTGGGATGAATGGCCAACAGGGAAAAATGGGGATCTCCAGGTAGGATTTGGGAAGAATTCTGGAGGGCCAGTGCTGCCAGCCAGAGTTTGTGACAAGTCCCAACAAGTCCTGGTTCTGAAGTTCAAGTTTCGTTTGCCCCAAGGTCAATTGACTTGAGACTTGAACTCGGGACTTGGATCCCTGTTACCAGCATCCCTGGGTATAAGCCATTTCCCAGTATTCCTACCATGGCTCCCTCATAATCACTCTGGCTAAGCTAAAAATCTTCCAGCGTTTACACCTGAAGAAGTTGCACCAGCTAAATCAGGTAAAAAATAAATATGATGACTAAACAGAACATTTCTCTTGCACAAACTTCTTGACCTAGCTTGGATGTGCAAATACTTGTCCGGAGATGAGATAGGGTGATATTGGTCAATGCCATTCGGTCGTGAGGGTGGGGAAGGGGGCAGGCAGACTCAGAAAGGCAGACCTCCTGTATTTGCAGAAGGTGTGGATTTGAAATCCTTGAGGGTCACAAGTGAACTTGCAAATCTAAGTTTGCAGAACCAAGAAAATGCAGACCACCAGAATGTGCCATAGAGGACTCGGAAGGTGGAGATCCTAAGAGGCAGAAAAGGGGAGGGGTGGGCACAGAATGATCATGATACTCAACGTGGTATGGTGGTTACAGGCTTAGGTTCAAATCCCAATTTAGCCATGGAAACTCACTGGGTATAGCAATGATAAACCGCTCCTTCAACATCTCACATACCTTAGAAACCCTTCAGCTGTCTTCTGGTGCTAAGTAAGAGGCCCTGCTAGTGCTAATTTTGCTTTAAAATGGACATGGCATGTCCTGAGATGGGCACTCCCCAAATGTTAGAAATAGCAGAAGGAATGGGGAGAGCAGAAGCATTACTGTCTTTCCCAAAGAATCTTGAAATCTTTTTTTGTTTAAATCCTGGGCTCCCATTGTCTTGTTCTAGTTACAGCCCTGTTCTTATCTCTAGGTCCTTGGGGGGGGGTGACTCTTTCCCAGAATGAATAAGTAAACTTTGAAGCTAAGAGTGCTTTGACTCACCAGCAGAATCTGGAATATTAAGAAGAACTGGGTAATGAATAATCGGATGGTGGCGAATACAACTGATTTGTATTTTGGTTTATGTATTTTATGTTGTAGTTTGTAATTTAAAAAGTATGTATATATTTAAAAGAATCGGATAATGAAAGGTTTTTGGCATCTCGAAATTCCCAAGAAATGCTACGTACTTGTTTGACAGTAACGATGGCGTCGATGTACTGCCATCTGCTGGAAATCCTTGGGAAGGAAAAAAAAAGCACATCTAAGAATTCTAAGGACCACAAAGAAAACTGGGATATTTTTTTTTTTTTTTAATGGATTTGTTTAAAATGGTGTGCTGGAGGAGAGCTTTGTGACTGAACGACAAGCAAGTGGGGCCAAGAGCAAATCATGGCTGAACCATCTCTCGAGGCAAAAAAAAAATATGATGAAACTGAAGCTGTCCTGTTTTGGGCACATCCTGAGAAAGCTGGATTCATTGGGAAAGGCAATCACACTGGGGGAGAGGGGCGGCAGCAGGAAAAGAGGAAGGCCCCCCCATGTGAGATGGACGGACTCACTAAAGGACATCCCCAGGTTTGAGTTTCCAATTGCTTAGCAGGGCTGTTGGGGACGGGACGTGTTGGAGATCGGTCATCAATTGGGTCGCCATAAATTGGGGGTGACTTGAGAGCACATAACAGGAATTCTTTTGCACACCCTGGGGGGGAGTGATAGAAAGAAAGCATCAGCCATGCCCCATCGGGTTTTCCAATCCCTATTATTTGTTCCTTTTTCAGCTTAACCAACCTTTATCTGGAAAACTCCGAACAGCCTACAGGACCTTTCCCTTCCCTAGAGTTGCTGTCAGCAGGGAGTGACGTGGCAACACCTCACAACAACACTTCCACTCCCTCACAGGCCAGCTCTCCCACTAGACAGAGTGAGTTAAATGTCTCAGGCCACAGATGCTGTATGTTTCTGGAACTGGATTAAGTGTATTTGTCTTGTATTTCATATTATATCATCTGATATTTCATTACAGTAGGGTCTCTACTTAAGAACTTAATCTGTATTGGAAGGTGGTTCTCAAGTGGAAAAGTTCTTATGTAGAATCTGCATTTCCCATAGGAATGCATTGAAAACCATTTAATCTGTATCTGCTCTTTTCCGTCCATAGAAACTAATGGGAAGCTGCTATTCCGCCTTCTACCACTAGAGGGGGATATTTTTTCTTTTTTTCCCCCCTTAGGTCAGGGAACAGTGTTAAAAGCACTTCTGACGAAGCTAATTTTGAAGCAATGGACTGAAAACCAATTAATCTGTTCTGGCTGTTTTTTTGTTATGTAGAGGTGCGTTCGTACATTGACGCATTAGTTCCCATAGGAACTAATGCAAAGCTGGTTAATACGTACTCTTCCACTAGGGGGAGAACTTTTTTTAACCTAAGATGACCTAAGGTTAAAAAAAGAGCAGGAAAGTTTTTTTTCCTATTCTTATCTTGGATTTTTGTTCTCAAGTAGAAGCAAAATTTAGCAAATGGAGCTGTTCTTAAGTGGAATTGTTCTTAAGTAGGGACGTTCTTAAGTAGAGACCCCACTGTATGTATTATCAATGCAATGGTTATTTTTAATAGTTTCATTTCTTCTGAATTGCAATTCCAGTAGGACTCCAGTATCCACGGGATTCACTTATCCACTGTCTGAAAATATGCAAAATATTAAAAGAAAAATCCTAGAAAGATATATTTCTAAAGATAAAGTTCCCAGAACTGGCAATTAGAAAGAGCCAGAGGTCGTGTTATGTATAGCATTTGCTATTAAAACAGCACTCACTGTAATCAGCATTTTTCAACATCCACAGGAGGAGGGGAGCTTAGAACCAATCCCTCTCAGATACGGGGGTACTACTATACTTAATACAACTCACTGATACATTGTAAGACACTTTGGTTCCTAATAATGGAAGCGTGGGATATAAATAAAAGGGATATATATAAATGGGATATGTATAAATAAATAAATCAGGTGGCGCTGATGAGGAGATCAGAATTTTTGCTCAAGTGCACACGTGGCAGATCCCACAGGGAGTGGATAGACATCGGAGGATGATACTATAAATGCCATGTCGCATTGAACTAGCTTGATAGGTGGTAATAACACTGATCTCTCCCAGTGCAACCCCAACATCTGTGCTGAGGAAACTGCAGGTGGTTGGCTCTCGTACAAGGACGTACAGGTGCACAGCAAAATGACACATCACTAACAATGCCGCCTGAATTCCCCAGCATCTGTATTTGTTTTCAGTGCTGGTTGAGTCCATCCAGCCACAAAGTCATAGACAAAGAAAACAATCAACAAGAAGGTAGTGAATCAGGGTTTATTGAAATATGTACCTCAGCAGCAGATCTGCCTTGCTAAAATGTTAATCTGTAACTAGATGAAGTTAAAACAGGGTGGCCAGGTAAGGGAGGGCTTGGGTGTCAAAGAATACATAGCTTCTCTGTGTTAGAGAGCACTGAATGCCAGCTTTTCCCTTCAGACATGCATCAGCAGCCACAATGACAGATATAGGGGTTTTTTTCCTGGACTACAAATCCCATCATTCTCCATTCAGGGAGTTCTACCTGATGGACAGACACCTTACAGAACCTCAATGTGGCTTAACTGGGAGAGAAGCTTCAACTGAAAATCGTTGAGACTTAGCTAGGCCTAGCTCTGCATAGCTTCCTGTTCAGAAAGGAAGCTCATGGGGGAGAAACAGGAAGCTTGGGTGAGCTAGGCCGAGCTATCAAAGCCTTCCAGCTTAGGCCTTTTCTCCCAGGCGAGCCACATTCAGGTGTCTGGAAAGCGTCTGTGTGTCAGGTAGAACTCCCAGAATGGAGACTTACAGGATTTAGGATCCAAAAAAAATCCCATCACTAATAGCAGAATGACATTGGAACAAAATATACAAAAGTAGCTTGGCATTGGGACACATTCGGCTAAACTCTTCTGCACTCAGGCCACTCAGCAATTGTTTGTTCTTCACAAAGCTTGGCAAAAAAAAAAAAAAAAATTCTTGATCCAAAGTCATAAGAAAACTGGGAAGTAACTTATTCCATATCATGAATGACTTCTAATTGCTATCTGCAGTAACTAAGGTTTTAAAAAAATACTTTCCAATTGTAGTGTGTTGTTGTTTAGTCGTTAAGTCATGTCCGACTCTTCGTGACCCCATGGACCAGAGCACGCCAGGCCCTCCTGTCTTCCACTGCCTCCCGGAGTTGGGTCAAATTCACGTTGGTCGCTTTGATGACACTGTCCAGCCATCTCATCCTTCAGGAATTCCTCTTTTTCATCACATAGTGCATAATTTGGCCAAGAAAGAGGCTTGATAAACAGTCTCTTCTTTGTTTTTCACTCTGAAGTATCATTCACAAATATACCACCAGTCGTAAAACAGGACATGGCAGTGGGATTAGGGCGTTGTGGGCATTGTAACAGAAATAATGCACAGCGCCAGCTACACTTACTGTTGCCCTTAAGGCTACCATCAAAATTTACCTCATAATCCAGTCTTTCAAGAATTTAGGGTTGTTCATCTTCTTCATTTAGGATCCTCAAAGCTCAGGAGATGACTTGATATTTAAGGGAAGGAATTTGATATCACCTTTGCTTCAAAATGAACAGAGACGACCACCATTGAAAGGACAACATTAATGAAAGGACACTCAGTGATCCACCGTTTCCAAATATTTCTATCAAAGAGTCAAAAATGGCCTCCGTTGTTGACTATTTCCCCTCAGTAACAGCCAGTACAGGCCGCGTTGGCGCAGATCTCACATAGGTCATCGCTTACAGCCAAATCTGCTCAAAAGGAAAAAAAAACTAAAATTAGCTTGGCTGTTTTTAGCAAGGAACGATTCAAGACTGGTTTGTATTTGTTTTGCTTGAACACTGAGGGGACAAAAGTGTAGCCTCCCTCAGAACAGAAAAATGGACCCTGGACTCACTGAAGGTGCTCTCTCTGGTCAAGGAGCAGAAGAGATGCAACACTCATGAAAAAGTTTAGAATGGAAGGGATCCTATAGATCATCAAGTCCAGCCCTTGTCAAGGAGGCCCAGGCGGGGAATCGAACTTCCAAGCTCTGGTTCCCCGGCCAGACCCCCAAACCACAAAATTAAATTGTTTTACATGTTGTCAGCAAGAAGTTCTTAACTGTTAGACCAGTATGACAATGGAGCCAATGATCTTGGGAGGTTGTGAGCACTCTTCAAATATTTGAAAGGTCCTCATACAGGGGATCTGTCTTCAATCATCCCAGAGTGTAGGACTCTCGCCCCACTATACAATTTACACCATTCTAAGAGCTTTTCTTCTCGATGGGGAAAGGGGGTGTCAAGTCTCCTTACAGCCCATGCCAGCAGGAGATGTGAACTCTTGCATAGCCCAAAAAAGACATAATAAACCAAAGGGAGAAATGTTCTCAATTGGTCAACACAAGCCAGCCCATTCCGATGAGACTCAGAACCCTTGGTCAGTTCAATGTCTGTTGGAAATGGAAAATTTGGAGGGTTGAGTGGAAATCCCATTTTGGGGGAAGAAGGCTTGGATAGAACCCTAAATACTATGTCCATGTCTCTGAAGAACATGAAGATAATCTAGTTTCATACATCAATTCTCTCAGTGTGAATACGTTAAATAAAATCTGGAGGTCCACGAAGTTAGTTCCCAAACTGGTCTTCCAAAAATTTTCGAAACTGGGCTTCATTCCTACAGCAGCCTGTTGATTGGTCCCTGCCAATCAACCTGCTTGTTCATCAACAGCCATAGAAAATTTTTCATCCTATTTCTATTTTGTTAGATCCTGACTATGGGAGAGCTGACCTCTGTTCGGAGCGGAGGTCCATGTAGAAGTTTCCGGGGACTCATCCATGGAGCCAAACTTTTGTAAACCACCCCTACGCACCAGAAAAAGAAGGCGCAGGCATGCAGGATTAAAAGGAGCCAGATAAATGGGATAGAGTAAATAAGACAAAAGTTTATTGGAAAGAAAACTCTTGGTTAAAGAATGTCTCTCGGTCAAGCCAAGACTTAGCAAATACAAGAGCGACTAGGGTGGGACAGGGAGGAGTGGAAAATGTTGGCCAGGGCTGACCCAAGGACTTGAAAACACAGACTGGGACATTCTGGTGGTCTCATCTGTGGACAGGAGAACATTGTGTATGAAGGGGATAGACAGGAGGAAAGGAGCATCCCATTATCATTGCAGGTGCACGGGGACATTCTGGTGGTCTCATCTGTGGACACGAGAACATTGTGTATGAAGGGGATGGACAGGAGGAAGGAGCTTCCCAATTATCATTGTAGGTGCACGTGAGGGGGACATAGGAGAGGGCCTTCTCTGTGGCAGCTCCCAGGTTGGGGAATGCTGTTCCTTGGGAGATAAGGCTGGCTTCCTTCCTTCTATCCTTCCACCAACAATGGATGCTATTTTTTTAAAAAAAAAGCTTTTTAGATTTCTAAGTTTGTTTTTAAAGTTGTAAATGGGTGTTTTTTTAAATAGCTTCATTCATTTTTAATTATTGCTGCAGTTTAACTGCTTTTTGATCTGTACTTTATTGTGCTTTTAGTGTTCCTTGTTTTAACATCGTGGGCCGCTTTGGGCCCCAGCACTGGGAGAAACTGCTTTTTGATCTGTACTTTATTGTGCTCTTAGTGTTCCTTGTTTTAACATTGTGGGCCGCTTTGAGCCCCAGCACTGGGAGAAAAGTGGAACTAACTAACTAACTAACTAACTAACTACTCTTTACTAGTAGAAGGCGGGTTCTTAAGAGCAACGCATGTGCTTAACACTTTCTTAATCAGTCTAGTCCTGACAAAGTTTCTCTCTCTCACACACACACACACACACACACACACTCACACATCTACTATTCTACCTCGTAGAAAGCTCCGGAAAACTGCAAGGAAAGGAAAGGAAAGGAAAGGAAAGGAAGCCAGCCCTGATCACTTACTGAGCCTCTTGAAAACGAGAGGAGCATCTCTTCTTCTACAGACTGGCTCGAATTCCTTGGGCAGCTCTGGATTCTTACAAACAGCGATGAGAGGGAGCTGGCTCCTCTGGCGGGAGGGAGCGGATCCTGCGTCTGCTTCCAAGAGGACCTTCAGCTTCTTCACCGACTCCAGGGGGAAGGCGAGGCCTCCGTCCTGCTCCAAAGCAACCAAACCGATGAGTTGACCCCACATCGCTGGATGGTCTTACGCACGACTGGTCTCATCTCCTTTTTGGTGCTAAGCAGGATCAGCCCTGGTTAAGCACATGGGTGGAAGACCACCAGGAAATTCCCTAGTTCTGCAGCTACAGGTAGCTGCCTGAAAGTTGTGGAAAGCCATCACTACCAGTTAAAGTTCATCACAGTGGTCGACATAGACCAAGGATCTAACTTAGCTTGATGCCCTTTCCATGATTCCATGTTCTTAAGGACGTAGTCTGGGTTCTAGTCTCGTCCCAGAACTGTCCTTTTTCCTAGGTCCATCTAAACACCAATTTGCAACCTGCACAAAGGAGGGGCTTGAACTACCTGGACCATTCTATAATCCTACAATTCAGATCATTTCTGCCCCACTCTGACGTGTGTACACTCCCTTTAACTAGAACTCAACTTAGATTGTCATGAATTCCATACAGTGAACAAGCGAGCAGAGGCTACACGCTAAACCTGCCCATCAATCATCCTTTTCTTCCCCATGTAGAAAGTCCATCGAGATTATCTGTACAGTTCTGAAGGCTGATTTCCAGTAAGGTGTTCATCATCATCAATATCATCTTAGAACTTCAGAGCTGGAAAGGAACCCTATGGATCATCAAGTCAAGGAGGCCCAAGTGGGGAATCGAACTCCCAACCTTCACAGCCAGAGACCGCAACCCCTGAGCTATCTAGAAGTTATCCAGAAGTTATGTCCTTCCATATTAGCAAGGCCACTCACCAAAAGCCTGCAAAAGGTTTAGACCCCTTTCCCACAACTTCATACCCTCCATATGTGTGGGACAACCACTTTCATAATTTCCAGCCAAAACTGATGAAAACTTATGGAGGGTACCAAACTAGGAGAGGTTTAATTAGGGGAACAATTAGATATTACAAGCAACCAGTAATGCATTTACCAGTACATGCAGGATAGCTCAGTGGCTTAGGTCTCTGGCTGAGGGGCCGGAGGTAGGGAGTTCAGTTCCCCACTGGGCCTCTTTGAGAGGAATCCATGGGGTCTCTTCCAGCCCTACCATTCAAAAGTGATCATTATTATTATTATGCTGCTTTCCCCCCACAGCAACAGAAGCACAGCAAAATCCCATTTGAAAAGTGCAGCAATGTGAGACAACTAAGTTACACACATGCACACACACCCAGTTTCCTTTCATTTACATAACTTTTTAAGGGCCTTTGAGAGAGATCTTTGCCAACCAGCTCATGCCGTGAGGACGTTCTTTCTGACATTTTGGCTCATGACGACGCACACCTCTGCAAACTCACAAGGCATGTTTCCGTCACACGGCGAACTGCCGGTTGATCCTGCTTGAACCATCCTTGGCTGCATCCCAACCAAATCGTAGGGAATCTGCCATCGGGAGAAGCTTTGGAAGCACCTCTCCAATAACATGTCGAGGGGACGGAAGACTTACCTGGACCATAACGGCAGATAGGCAGGTCTGGACCACCATTGAAAAGATGACCATCACAGGGATGACCATGGATGCCATGACCAATATTTCCAGCTCTCTCCTTCTGGAGCAACTGTGTTTTCTGTGGTTGTCAGTATCCCTCCTCTCCACGTCTTCCAGTAGGAAAAAATTCTACTGCTTCTCGCTCTCTCTTTCTCTCCTCCTTCTAAGCACTTGCTCAGTTTTCTACCTCTTAAACTATACCCCTCCCACACAGAGAGACAGGGAAAAAAGGCACCGTTTTATAAAGCTTCTACAGAGATCAACCAGCTTGGTAATTTATTAATCAGGCCTGGTTGTATAGACCACATTTATTGCCGCCCAGTAAAAAAGAAAAAAGGGGGGGGAGGAAGAAAGGAGTGGAGGTTTTAAAGAAAACCACAGCAGCTTCAGATTTGCACTATCTCACTTTACGAGCCTGGGAAAAAACATATAACATGGGGAAAAAAATGATTGAATTGTAATCGGTGCCAAAATGACAGAGGTGTAGCCTCGGTCTAGTGCGAAAGCTAGAAAAGTAGGTGGCAGTCCTTGAAAATAGATGCCATTTGAAGATAGCTCATTCCCCTTTAGGACCTTGTTGGGATCTGTGAGTTTTGGGGGCGTCTTTATCGCAAGAACGAAAGATGTCCTTTTCCCCTTCCACTCTCTCGAGGTTTCTGAAGTTTGTGTGAAATGTCGCCATGTAAAACGAGGGTTCTTTTGCTTCTGTGAAGCAAAGCAGAGCACCAGAGAAACTAGCTGCTTAATCATCATAAACGTTACAGACTACTGTGTTAATCAACGTTCAGGCAACTGTGCACCCATGCTCTTGGTTCGCATGCCTATGAGCTCTATAGTTGAGCTATTATGTTCTGGAAAGCATTTGCGAAAATATCTACACAGAAGTGAAATTCCAACGTCAGGTCAACACACCCAGTGCTTTGCCGTCACGCACACATGGGCGAAGTTGTATCAGTTCCTCGATCGTGTGGTTGCCTAAAGCCACAAAAATTTTTATTTGCCTTTCGGATACAAGGATCTGTTTGATTTCGCTGCAATTGAAAGAAATAAAACTCCAGGAAACTCAATGGCTGCTTCTATACCAGCATGGAGGGACCATAACCTTTAAGAGCCATGCAGAAGAACATGTCCAAGTTTGAATGCTTTCCAGCATTGGAGCGCTCCCCACTTCCCAAGATCATGATTGTCATACTGCTCTAACAGTTAAGAAGTTTTTCCTGATAGTCACCCTAAATCTGCAGCTTGAGCCTATTATTACCTGCCCAGCACTCTGGGAAGATCAAGGACAGATCCTGCCCTTCTTCCGTAGGACTACCTTTCAAGTGTAATCGTATCAGCCCTCAGACTTATTTTTACCCCTCAAAGCTAAACATCCCCAATGTAAAATAAAAATAAATATTGATGAGCACTCGGCCCAGGACAGAGTCTTGGGGTACCCCCACTTGTTACCTCCTCCCATTTTGAGAAGGAGTCACTGATAAGCACTCTCAGAGTACGATTCTGTGACAAACTGTGTGTCCACTTGATCGTTGTTCTACCCATACCCAATTAGCTTGCTAATCAGAATATCGTGGGTCATTTGTCAAAGGCTTTGCAGAAGCCACGATATCTTATGTCACACATTCCCTAATCCCGAGAGAGAGCATACCGAGGAGATCCATGTATCTTTCTGACGTATTTCAGTTCTCATCCCGCGCAGTTGGGAGTCACCCCTTACGACTACTCTTCTCTACTTATTTTTGTAGGGGTGTGGGTTCAACGACACTCCTTGACTGAGTTTCAGCCTCTCTCCTGTTCTCTCTTCTCTTGCAGGTCTTCTTCTGCATGCTGTCTGCCAGGCTCATCTTCAAGAACCTGAAAGCGGTTTCGCAATTCTACTCGTCATGCTGTCTGCCAGACTCATCTTCAAGAACCTGAAAGCAGTTTCGCAGTTCTACTCGAGTAGCGTGTCTTCTCCTTCTTCGGCTCCTAGCAGGGGCTTTTCCCCATGGTGCTTCCTCCACTATGTAACACTCTCCTCCTCTGCTTTGTCTGGTTCTTCTTCCGCCCCCAACGCCTCCCTCCGTGGCAGCTACTGCTCAAGAGTTCGGACTATATTCCACTAATCTTCTCTTATACCCTTAAGTATGGCCATTGACTCCCCCAGTTCTTTCCCTTATCTTTCCAAAAAGGGCTACCCACTTTACACTTGCTGCGTGGGCACACTCTGTTGTTCTCAGGCAAGAAGACAACTGTGGCACACACGCCACAAAGTGTCTCATCTCTCTACAATTCCTCTTCCCTTTTTACTTTCTTCTGCTTGTCTGTGAGTGTCTTGGGCTTGATCTTCTCTGCCTTGAAGGATGTTGGAAAAGTCAGGTGATATAGAACTCCCTGCCTTTCACTCCTTTGGTCTCTTCCTCCACTGCTATGCCCCCATCAAACTCCCATCACTTCCTGGGATCCTCCCCAGTTTTATTCCTCCGCTGTGATCTGTTAGGAGTTAGCAAACATGACCACCCTTATGCAAGCATAAATAATCAGTTAAGATTCTGACCGTGCATTCTGTCTCTATGAGTGATGTATTCCAGTTAAAACCTTCACCTCTGCCTTATTGGGTTTTAGTTTATAGGTGTATTTTCATATGAGCATTCGTGGCTAGTTTGTTTGCCCAGATGACTGGAGAGAGATTTATTGCAATGCCAATGCATCTATATTATCATATTAAAGGTGACTGTAAACCCCTGCATTTAACGTGTTTGTCACTCCTCTTCTGACAGGTCAGCCTCAGAGTTGTGTGCCTTAGCAGTCAAATGTGAACGGTGTCTACAAATGACCAATACCTGATTTCTGGGTCTTCGATGCAATCTTGTTTTGTGGTTGGTATAGCATAGAACTAGCTGGCTGGATCGCTCAGTGGTTTAAATATCTGGCTGTGGAACCAGAGGTTAAGAATTTGATTCCCCCACTCCTGTAGCATAGAATGTGTTATGACAATCAGACTTTTTTTAAACCAATAGGAGCACTGCTTCTAAATATGTGCTAAGTGTGTTGTCTAGTTTGATCCCCCCCCCCGCCCCAAGGGAGGTAAAAGAGAAGCAGGTTTAGCAAAACAATGAGGGATACATCAAGGAACCCTAACTATATTTTTTCTCTCAAAGTTTAGAAATATAACTTATTTTGGACTACACATCCCTTCTACCACGGCCATTGGCTATGCTGGCTGGGGGATTCTGTGATCTGTAGTCTGTAAAAATAAATTTTCCAAGCTCTGTTCCCACCTGCCATTTCTCCTTGCAAGTACAGTACACAGTCCTTCCTGCATGGCATAATCACATTTTTCTTTCCAATAAACGTACCAAAATATCTTTTTCACTGGAGTTCCCCTGGGACCTTTAAGAGGCCTCTTCGATACATATTTAAAGGAGAGGCGTGGGTGCGTGGAGTTTTCGAAAAGTTTTCTTTTTTTTTCTAAAATTACTAATTAATAAGGTTAACTTCTAAGCAAACATTCCACAGAGACATGGCCCAGAAATATCAGCTA